GGGGAGAGTGGCATTACTTCTTTGTAAAATTAAGATAATTTTATGCCTCATTTTATTCACTCAGCTTTGTCTCATCAATGATTCATTCTAATCTCTATGAGTCACCTGATGTAGCTCCAATTTATTTTATTTTATTTTTGAGACAGGGTCTCACTCTGTCACCCAGGCTGAAGTGGTATTGGCTCACTGCAGCCTCCAACCCCAAGGCTCAAGTGATTCTCTCACCTCAGCCTCCTGAGTAGCTGGGACCACAGGCATGCACAACCATGCCCTGCTATTTTTTTTTTTCTTTTTTGTATTTTTAGTAAAGATGGGGTCTTGCCATGTTCCCCAGGCTGTTTTTAAACTCCTGAGCTCAAATGATCCATCTGCCTCAGTCTCTCCAAAGTGCTGGAATTACAGGCATGTTCCACTGCATCCAGCCTCCAATTTATTTTTTAATGGCTGCAGCATATTTCTTGGCAAGTCTAAATATATTCAACCATTCTTCTTTTGAAGAACGTTTGCTTTGCTTCTAGGTTTTGTTTGTTTTCCACCATAAACAATAATTTATTATACATCCTCGTTTATATAGCCACACATTTAGGTATTCCTATGGGGTAGATTCCCATGAATAGAAACGCTAAGTCAAAAGGTGTATGTATTTTTAATTTAATTTTCTTTTTTTCAGAGACAGGGTCTCACTATGTTGCCCATAAGCTGGAGTGTAGTGGCTCTCATAAATGCAATCATACCTCACTGGAGCCTTGAACTTCTGTGCTCAATGATCCCCTTGCCTCAGCCTCCCCAGTAGCTGGGACTAAAGGCACGTGCCACTGCTTCCGGAAACTTCAATTTTAATAGATTATGTTAGGCTGTTCTTGCTTTGTTATAAAGAAGTAACTGAGGCTGGGTAATTTATGAAGAAAAGAGATTTAATTGGCTCGTAGTTCTGCGGGCTGTACAAGCAAGGCACTGGCATCTGCTTTTCCTCAGGGAGCTTTTACTTTTGAGGAGGCCTCAGGGAGTTTTACTCATGGCAGAAGGTGAACCAGTAGCAGACATGTCACCCAGCAAGAGCAGGAGCAAGTCGGAGGAGGGCGCCACACACTTTTAAACAACCAGATTTCAGGAGAACTATCTCACTATTGTGAGGACAGCACCAAGGGGATGGTGCTAAACCATTTATGAGAAATCTATCCCCATGATCCAATCACCTTCCACCAGGCCCCACCTCTAATGCTGAGGATTACATTTCAACATGAGATTTAGAGAGGACACATATCCAAACTATATAATAGATATCACCAGATTGCTTTCCAAAAAGGCTATAATACCCTCTATGGTTTAAATGTGTGTCTCCTACGAAACTCATGTTGAAACTTAATCCCCATCGTAATAGTATTAAGAAGTGGAGCCTTTAAGAGGTGATTGAGTCATGACAGCTTTGCTCTTATAAATGGATTAATGGGTTAATGGGTTATCACAGGAGTGGGTTAGTTATTGCAGGAGTGGCTCTGTTATAAAGGCCTGTTTGGCTCTATCTTGGACCCCTTCACTGTGTGATGCTCTGTGCCACCTCAGGACTCTGCACAGAGTTCCCACCAGCAGGAAAGCCCTCACCAGAAGTGGCCACTTGGGACCTCGGACTTCCCAGCCTCCAATATATGAGAAATTAAATTTTTTCTTTATAAATTACCCAGTCTCAGGTATTTGGTTATAGCAACACAAAATGAACTAAGACAACATCCAAGAACAAATATTAAAGTAACCTTTTCCCTGTATTCCCACTAGCAATAGATATTCATCTTTCTAAATCTTGATCATTCTGATAGAAGTAAAGAAATATCTCACTGCTTCTTAAATTTAAACGTTACTCTGATTACTAGTCTAAAATCATTTCATATGTTTTTGATCATATGAACTTGTTCTATGAATTGCCTATTTGTACCGTTTGCCCATTTTTGTGTTTTAAAAAATAATTCATCGCTTTAATTAATTTTTGCAGCTAGCCTGTCAGCTTCCATTCCCTGTCCTGTTGGGTAAGACAGAAAAATGTTACAAATATTGACATTTTGCTATCATAAATCACTTAACAGAGTAAATGAAAACTTCAAAGGATGATTAAAAATGGTCCAGAAGCCGGGCACAGTGGCTCATGCCTGTAATCCCAGCACTTTGGGAGGCCAAGGCGGGCAGATCACCAGGTCAGGAGATCGAGACCATCCTGGCTAACACTGTGCCCGCCTCTACTAAAGATACAAAAAATGAGCCAGGCATGGTGGTGGGTGCCTGTAGTCTCAGCTACTCAGGAGGCTGAGGCAGGAGAATTGCTTGAACCTGGGAGGCAGAGGTTGCAGTGAGCCGAGATCACACCACTGCACTCCTGCCTGGGCAACAGAGCGAGACTCTGTCAAAAAAAAAAAAAAAGAAAAGAAAAAAAAAAGTCCAGAAAAAAGAAGCTAAAAAGTCAAAAACAAAAGAAAGAATGAAAAGAAACCAGGATGCTTGAGAAGACAGAAATGATGTGAGCCGTGTGGTCTGTAATTGGTATATGATGGAAAAATACAGAAAAGAAAAGTCAAATGCTCAGGGGGAACACACACACACACAATCATTCATTAAGCAATTTCTTTCTTTTTTTTTTTTTTTATGACAGGGTCTTGCTGTGTTGCTCAGGCTGGTCTTGAGCTCCTGGACTCAAGCGATCTGACCACCTTGACCTCCCAAAGTGCTGGAATTACCATTAAGCATTTACTATGTTCTTCCAGGCCCTGTGCTAAGCACATTCCCTGCTGCATCTCACCCTTCAGTAGGAGTAGGTAAGTAGTATTAGTCCCACTGTACAGATGGAAAAACAGAAGCTCATAGAAGTGTAGTAGTAACATGGTTAAGGTTACATTGCTAGTCAGTGGTGGAACCAGGATTTCCATCCAGGTCTGTCTGACTCCAGGCACTGGGCTGGTAGATGGCTGGGCCTGAGAACTATCCAGGAGTAAACAGCATGGACAAAGCTGTCATGGAAAGAGCTCTGGCTGAGATACAAATTCTAAACCGGGCCTCAAAAAGGGTTAAAGGGAAGTAGGGTGACATCAGTAGAGCTGAAACTGGGGTTTAGAGCTTCCTGAGGAACTGGTGTGGTCAGGGGAGCCTTTGAGAAAGTCCCAGCCCTGTTAGACTGTTAGGGCCCTGAGCTGGGACAGGGGAGGGTGGCGAATGCAACAGAACATCGCCCCGGATGTAACACCCAGCTAGATAAAGTGACTCATCACCCTGCTGTCTCCCCACAGCCTCAGCTGCTAATCATGGTGGAATAAATGTCACTGCAAGTTTAAGGAAGACTATGCACAAGGAACTGTCACCATTACTTGCTGAGAGAGAGAGAATGGGTGGCCTTGTTATCACTGAATTCCTAAGTGCTTTCTCACTGCCACCCCACTCCCCTGTTCTTCAGCAGCCTTTGGGTGACACAAACCCACTGAGAGTCCTGCTGGAGCCACAGGGTTAAGACCCAGTGACTGGTGAAGGGCATCTTCTGCAGTGGCAGGCGCCATGAGTGCAGGGTCCTGGGCTGCCCACACGGGCCCTGCTGTGGGGCCTCCATCAAGTGATGCAAGCTCCCTGAGCCTGCTCTGAGCCTGCTCCCAACCTCAACATGAGGAAAATAATGCTGTCTCCACTCACAGTGAGTGAAATCATTGTGAAACACTGAGGCACAAAATAAGCGTGAATGCTTTGATGAATTGGAGTGGTCATGATATAAAAGACTTGACAAACCATAGGAGGAAGTTGAGAGATCCCCTTGCACTGGGAGACAGTGATGCTGGTTGCATTTCAGCTAGAATGAAGGGTGAGAAGGTCCTGGCACCAGGGCTGCCTAAGAACATGGGGGTGGATCAAGTCTGATTGCATAAACCACTGGGGCTCTCCCAGTGGATTCTCCGCCACCACGTCTACCCCTGATGTGTAGCTTTGAGTCTGTGACAAGAGTATTTAGGGTTGGATTCAGTAGACTGAGTTTCAAATCTCAGTTCTATTTATGAGCTGAAGACAGCCCTGACCTTCAGTTTCTTCACTGGTACAACAGAATAGCAATAACTGGTCCATGTGATTGTCGTGAATATTATATACGAAAGAACTGGACAGATCACATTTGAGCATTTACTATATCCTTGAAGAATTTGAACTTGTTTAACTCTATTCTCCACTTTGGGTGCTTCCCTCCTCAGTAGGAGGAGAAGAGGTTTGAGGGGAGGAGGACAGATGACATTTGCAGGAATTTGGCCAGGCACTGTGCTTTGTGTTCTCTGTATAGAGACTCATCTGACCCTTCCACAGCTGCCCTGTGAGCCATGTACTCTTATCCTTACTCTACACATGGGCGCCTGGTGCTCAGAGAGGGGAAGCTATCTACCTCAGTGAACCTAGGCCTGACACCAAAAATCTATACCTTTTATAGACACCCACAATCGATTATAACACCCACAATCTATTCAAAACTACAGTTATTTTTTCTGACTGACAATGCAAGAAAATCTCAAGGTGGAAATTCATGCACATGAGATAAGTTTCAAACACAATCTCCTATTATTCAATTACTCTGTTATCCCCCATTAAACAATCTCTTAGATGACCCCTGGTCACCACTATCCTTCTTATCTCACTCTGGCTGCACACCCAGGCTTATGCTGGAGAAGCACAAAACTGCAAGATACCTTAGAGATCGTCTGATCCAGCTCCTGCTCTAAGAGCAAGGAAACTAAAGCCCAGAATAATTGCCAAAACCGCCCAGTAGAAGTCTGCTCCTGAGGGTTGTCCCCTGCCCCCTGCCCCTCTCTTGCCCTGGGGAATCCATGCTTCCTCCCCTCCTGCCCCTTTCTCAGAAGCAGGTGGCCGAGACACAACACAAAGGACGTAGAGCATCACTACATTTTCCTTTGAACTGTACAGCTGGTTCTCTTTACCCACTTTTTTCTTCCAGATCTAGGACATCTGATTTTGAAGAAATGAATGTTTTCATAGAAAGTAGAAATAATAACTCCTTTTGCTAAAAAGAACGCGGAGGGAGGGGATGACCCAAGAATTGACAGTGCATTGCATTTTGTGTAGTGCTCTAAACAAGAAAGCCAGGTCCTTTCCTGCCAGGGTCTGAGCTTCTTCGGCACCCCCCTCAGTCAGCTGTGGTGCTGATCTGGCTGCATCCCCTGCTTCCTATGGCCCCAGCCAGCCCTTCTTCCTTAGGTCCTGGGCCTTGCTCCCGCGGCCAGCAACCTTCTACTGAACCTCCAGCCATGATCGTTCATTCCAGCTCCCTCTCATTCTTTCTTCTTCTTGGGTTATTTCTCACGTTCTCTATGAGGTAGCTGAGCAGTCTGTTCTATTTTGAGGCTGCGCTCCATCTTGGAATAAAAAATTACTCAAAATCAGACACATCTTCGTTTCAAAGCCAATTCCTCCATGGCTACTGACTAGTTGTGTGTTTCTGGGCAACTCAGTCTCCAGACCTCAGCTTCATCATCTGTAAAATGGGGAAAATAGTATCTCTTTAGAAGGTCTTATGTCAGAATCAATGAAATAGTGTCATTAAAGTTTTGCATATGATAAAGGCACAATAGATGGTCGCTTTTCTTCTTCTAGCAGGCTGATTATCCCAAATCTTATACTCCCGCTAAGTCTAGGTGTGGTGCCCCCAGGAATCCACCTGGATAGCGCCAAGTTGAAGTCATCTTTATGTCACCCAGAGATCTGTCGGGGTATGCCTAGCATCATTCTGCCCTACATGTGGCTAAATGACACTGCTGCAGCTCCATTATACTGCACCGCCTCGTCTGGAGCCAGACCAGGCATGCCTCCAACATCATAATAATCTTCAGGGTGTGATTATCACAGTGCACAGAGGCCTGCCAAGGCCCTAGAAGAAAATTATGATAGGGTAGAAAAGAAACGTGCCTTCGAAACTTGAGTTGAGTGTCTTGCTGTGTCACTTACTAGCTCTGGGTCCTTGGGAAAGTTCTTTAGATTCTCTCCATTTTAACTGTAGGAAGCAACAGAAATTTCTTCCTCCCTCCGCCTCTACCCTACCCCACTTCCCTTCAACAAATACGAATTAGGCATCTAGGCACTGGGGATGCAAAAGTGAGTAGAAACAGATAAAATCCCTCCACGATGGCATCATGGAACTCACTGTCTGATGAAGCAGAGGTATGTTCATCAAATAAATAAATGCAGGACTGCAACCCTCAGGTCACTTTATCTGATAGGTTCATGGTGCCAGTGCATGTCTCACGGTGCAACTTGAACCTGTCGGTGAGGTCAGGGAATGCATTTTGATGAAGTTGTGACTTCATAACAACCTGAAGGACAAAAAAGCAGTCACCAGCTAAGAGGGGTGAAAGAGCTTTCCAGGCCAAGGATGGGGTTAGTGTAAAGTCTTAGTAGATGGAGTCAGGGGATGCTTGAGGAACTACAAGGCTTGGGGAGTGCTGGGCAGAGAGGATGGCTGGAGGGGCCAGCAGTCACAGTGTCTCATAAGCCTTTTAGGCCTTATGAAGGATTTTGGTCATTACTCTCTTAGGAGAAATGGGTAGCCCTCATATAGTTTTAAGAGGAGGGGATAGACATTCAATAAGTAATTTTTAGAAGAATAAATGAGTCCGTTAATGCCTTATCTCCCAAATCATTTATCAAATTAAGTAGTCACTTATCAAGAGCTTGAATGTATGGGACACAGCAAAGAATGTTTTGGTAGAAAAAAAGGATGGGAAAAATCTGGAAGGTGAGGTGCTGTCTTAGAGTTGAGGCCAAGACACTGTGTCACAGTGGGGTCCCTGGGCCCTGTGGGAAGATCTCAGAGTACCTGGCACCTGGCATGGGTGTGGGGTTCAAGACAGATATCCTGAGGAAGAAAGGGGAGGATATTCCAGCGTCTTTAACATCAAAGACGCTTTGCTTACTTCATGACTGAGATCAGGGTTAGCCATTCTTGAATATGTTGCAGGTGGGTAAAAAGGAAAACCTAGTGATTATTTGAGGCCTTTACTGAGCCAGTCACATCCCCTAAACCAGTTAGAGGAGTTTATTATCTGACATGGTAAAGTGCAGATGTCCAAACTCAAATTCAGTTCAACCCTTATAAAGACATTTTCTGACACTGACATTTACAGACCCTGACTTTCTATGTCTGTAAATTGGGAATAATGATACCTATCTCACCAGGTTAAATGAGAACATGTACATACTGTGCTCAGCATAGTGTCTGGGACCTGTGGCAGCAGCTATTTTCATGGCAATTATTCTGTATGTATGATACAACTTTAAAACTTCTCTAGGGACCAACAAGGCAATGCAATCAAACACCAGCAGAGCCAATAAGGGGCAATAGGGAATGGTGGGGACTGTGGCAAACTGGAGAATCCTTGTCTGTCCAAAGAGCTCCTCTTTAGTTTCAGCTATTAGCTACTGAGCAAGAACTCAAAACAAGTGCTTTCTGACTTTTCCAGAAATGCTGGAAATCCTAATGCATAATTTTGTTATCCAATTCAAATAAAAAACTGCAAACAATAACCACCACCAGAATTAACAACGCTATGGAACACACAAAATAGGTTCTGGAGCAAAGCTAGGCTGAAAGCAGCTAAAACAAAGTTTCACAAAGGCCAAGCGTTCTGGGAAATCAGATCTGCCCCACAGAAAAGACTCTAAAAGCATGTGAAAGGTCATAATAAAATCAGGTGCAGGCCGGGCGCGGTGGCTCACGCCTGTAATCCCAGCACTTTGGGAGGCCGAGGTGGGCAGATCACCTGAGGTTGGGAGTTCGAGACCAGACTAAACAATATGGAGAAACCCTGTCTCTAGTAAAAATACAAAATTACCTGGGCATGGTGGTACATGCCTATAATCCCAGCTACTTGGGAGGCTGAGGCAGGAGAATCGCTTGAACCCGGGAGGCGGAGGTTGTGGTGAACCGAGATCTCGCCACTGCACTCCAGCCTGGGCAACAAGAGCAAAACTCCGTCTCACAAAAAAAAAAAAAAAAAAAAAAAAAAAAAAAAAAAAATGGGGTGCAAAGGAAGCATTCCAAATACGTTCAGTGAAATGTCAGCATTTTTAGAACATGTATGCACCAACCTCCCTCGGGAAGGATTTTGAAGACGACAAGGCTCATTAGGTTTTACTTCCTGGGGCAATTACTCAAATGTTCACACCCACAGCTCTGGGAGCCTTGAAGGTGTTTGCCGAGCTGCTCTTAGGGGCGGTGATACCAGCAATATCCACTGGGGGGCTCTCTCATACAAATAATGGCATAGCTGTTCCCAGCTGTAGAGGAAATGGCAGCCCTGGGACCTGGGGGGATGGAAGGCCAGTCCACGTCTCAGTGGGAAGATGGCAGCAGCTCAGTGGCTCTTCACAATGATGTGATGACCTGTTTTTAAATGTTTAACAGAAGCCAAACTTGGCTTTTAGGGGACAGCTCTCCTGCCAGCCAGTCAGCTTGCCAAAAGTATCTTTCCTGTGCACAGAGAACACACTGGGCTTGGAGACATTCTCCGCACAGTGGGATTTGGTGAGAATCTTAAAGGTTTCTGTTCAAGGTCAGTTTGGTTGCTTTCTATGCCCAATGTCTCTCAAAGACTGTGGCATCAAGGGACCTGCTGCTACCCTACTCGATGGGGCTGAACAGGAGATACATTCCACACTTCACAATTGCCACCTTTCGGGAGCAGCTTCTCCAGGTGAAGAAGCCCTGGTTTAGAGATGAGATCTGCGTCTGGGTTCCGGTTCTGCCCCTCATTAGCCGTGTGACCTTGAGCAAACCTCATCCTTTCTGGTTCTCAGTTTCTTCATCTGTAAAATTAGGAATACTCATCTCTAATACTAATCTCAAAAATTGTTTTGAGTGTTAAATAGGAATGAATGCATACGAAACTTTACTTTAGAGAAGGGCTTGGCTAACGTTTCCTATGAAGGGGCAGATAGAAACTGTTTTTGGCTTTATTGGCCTTATAGGCTCTGTCTCAACTACTGAATTCCGCAATTGTAATAGCGTGGAAGCAGCCATAGGCCATTCATCAAGAGATCAGCAGGGCTGTGTCCACTAAAACTCTATTTTACAAAAACAGGCAATGCGCTGGGTCTTGCTCACGGGCTGTACTTTGCCCATCCTCACAGCCTGTTTCTGTGAGGCTTGTGAGCTCAGGATGGCTTTATGTTTCTAAAGGGTTGTAAGGAAAAAACAAAGAATAGGTGACAGGGCCCGGAGCGAGTATTTACCACCAGCTCCTTGGAGAAGCTAGCTGGCTCTGCTCTAGAGCACCACAGGAAAGTCAGCCCAGGAGGCAGGCAGCTATGTCCCTGAGTATCAGGGGGCCTGCCAGGTAAGTCACAATGAAACAGACGGGCCAGATGAACCCTGGGCCCTGTCCAGCTCCAGGGGCTAGGGTTCACGTGATTCTGAAGACCGAGCTCTGGGGCTAGAGGGGGGAAGGGAAACGGCCCCCTAGTTCTCTTTTCAGTTGTCTATTTCAGATGGGTCTTACGAAAGAGGATCAGAAAAGCCTCCATCAGAAAATGAACCCATAATCAAGTGAATGGGGTTTTCGTTTCCTGAATTGTCTCTAGCCTGCGAGGCCGTGCTTTCATGTGAAACTTCTGAGTTCTCTACGAACTCGAACAATGAGTCATGGGTGAGCCCGGGACCCCCACCCACTTGGAGTCATGAGGCTCTGAAAATGGAGACAAGACCACGGGGTTTCTGTTAGGCCAGAGCCCTGACCCCTCAGCTAAGATGCTGCTGCTTTGTTCTAGATTCAGTCACATAAACAGAGGCAGCAGGTACTAGGCCTCAGGGTAATAGTCCCCGAAGAAAATAAAGAGAAAGTCTGTCTGAGAAAAGCGAGTTGTGCCGGTTAAAGAATAACCTATGGCCACAATGCCTTACTGGAGGGTGCTTGGGAGCCCATGCCCTCATGTCTGTTGTATGGGGTTAGGGAGAGCCTGGTGCATTTCAGCGGTGAGGGGGTTGCTGCTGGTCCTGTTTTCACTCCTTCTCTCCCCTTCCCGAGTGACCCCAAGACAAAATGCTGTTAGGTAAGTAGGGTCAGCTTAGCCCCACTAAGTTCCCCGTCCACCATTAGGAATCAGTGGTATTATTATAGTCTACCAGGACTGACCTGGTGCTGCTCAGAACCGGGGGCTCAAAGCAGGGCCTCCCTTCATCTTCTTAAGTTATTCTGTAGCAGCTCTGAGTCTCCTAAAGATTGATCCTAGAGAAAAGACTATGTCACTTACTTCTTTTTGTGATTGTAAAAACACACATATTTACTGCAGAAAATTTGAAAAATAGAGAAATGTGTAAAGAAGAAAATGTACAGGATAATTTTAGAATCAAAACCAATCTGATTGATTCAGGAAATGATTATTTATTGAGCACCTACTATGTGCCAGCCACTGTTCTTGGTGCCGGGGACATAGCAGTGAAAAAAAACAAAGTCCTCACCCCCGTGGAGCCTACATTTCAGTAGGGACAGTCAGGACAGTAGAGGAAGGGGCTGGGCTGATGGAACAGAATGCCTTTTTTGATAGGGTGGTCAGGACAAGAGGAAGCAAGGGATGCAGCTATTTGGGGAAGAGCGTTTCTGGCAGAAGGAAGAAGACCTGCCCAGGTGTTGGATAAGAACCTGCTTGGTGCATTCAGGGATACAAAGGAGGCCAGCATGGCTAAGATGAGGCAGGGGCAACCGGGGCGAGAACAGGTGGGACTTGCCGGCCGTGAAGAGGACCTTGGATTGGTGTTGAGTGAAATGGAAAGCCAAATGCAGGGTCTTGAACAGAAGAGGGCCATGATCAGCCTTATGTTTTGAAATGATCATTCTGGACACCAGCTGGAAAACAGACAGGGGCTGGGGGTGGGGTTGACAAGGGCAGAAACTGGGAAGGCATTTGGTTGTTGCGAAAGTTACACAAAGCTGTGAAAGCAGGGCTGGCCTGGTTGAAGGAAGGGTGAAGGCGGGGGGAGGGCTGGCAGTTCCTCCCACTGGGCCTCTGCCCTTTCCTTTCGTGCTCTCTGAGGTTCCACCATGGGACCCCGGGGTACCTAGGATTACATTTTGAAAGCTATTGGACTAGAGGTTCTCCAAGGGCCCTTCCAGCTTTGGCTCCTGTGCTCTTGTGTTTCAGGACCATGCTGATTCTGTGGAACCAGGCCCGGGCTCTACCAGCCAGGCCTCTGAACATGTCAACTTGAGAACTGAACAGGTTCAGGGTCTAGGAAGGGGAGAGATTTCAAAATTTTAATTAAAAAATATTTTAAATGTTTAAATTTTTGTAGAGACAGAGTCTTCCCATGTTGCCCAGG